AGGGTAGGTGGGGAAGGAGGCTCTGTAGAGATATTCCATTTCTTCCCCCCCCCCTCCACCTCCTGCCCTCTTCACAGGTAGGTGAGAGGAGGTGGGTAGAACCTTGGCTCTTCTTCCCCCACCCCAGCCTCCCCACACACATCCGTGTGCCTGGCACATCAGACATTAAACCCAGCACAGTTTATTCCTTCCTTGAAGCAATGGGGAAACTGGGAGGGAGATTGTGACACACTGAGTGTGAAAACATGCTCAGAGTAGATACAGTCACGATCTATCCCTGGGGTAACAGTTCCCACATGTTTGAATCTATATTGAAACTCCGTGATAAGGTTTCTCTATAACCTTTGGCATATGAGCCGCAACTAGGGGCAGAAATAGAGTTCATATATGCTAAGCAAGAAACTGCCGTCTGGGATTTGCTCAGGATCATTTCAAATGAAAGTGACTGGCTAATAATGTCTAAACTAGTATCAAGCAGGAAGAGGATTATCTAGTTCTCCATTTCCTCCCATTCTAAATAATTCATTGGCAGACACTTGACACAGGGAAATCACAGACGAGTATGTGACCTTAAATGAGCTGGATTCTGGTTGCCCCCCTGCTTTATCCCATAAAGAGAAAATTATGTTACTGTTTTGACACATTTCATGTAGTGTATACAGTTTTTGCTTATAAATTTGAATTGCTAACCTGTCTTGCTGTTGAATAGCTTCATATTGAAGAGAATAGTACTTCTTTTTAAACTTTAAAATGTTTTCTTCAAGCCTACTTTAGTATAAACCATGCCACTGAAATTTAATATTTAAAATATTTTTAGAAAAGTGTTTACTGGTAACTTGGAGGAGAGACTTTTACAAACAATGTTAATAATACAAAGTTTTCTGCACACATTGTTCATGCAAGTGTTTAAAGACAAGTAGAAAAACTAGAAACTAACTGTTCAAATATTGACTTCCCCTCTTAACATAAACCAGAACTTAAATGACATCACCACTTAGTAAAATCCCGGTGCTAAAATATAAATGAAAAAACTGATAAGAATCAGTTGTATTGCAGCTGAGCAAGCAATATGAGCCAAGTCTTGAAGCCCTTATTTAATTTTTTTTAAACCTTACTTGTGCAAAAGAAGTTTTGCACAAATAAAAATTGAGGAAGGACTTCAGACTTTGGCCCTCTATCTGCTGCACAGGTGGCAGTGTTTGAGCGATTTCCCACAGTTACCAGCAATTCCTCCCTTTAACCAAAAAGCCTAGCCATCAAACTATGCAAAACTGACAAGATACACAATAAATACTCCTAACACTGGATGTGCCACTGAAAAAGAGGTGGCAAGGCACTGAAGGATTTATGAGGGAGGAGAAAACTTGTGTGAATCTATCATTAAATCTTTAGGCTTTATAAGTGTTTGCAGAAAATCTTCCGTATTGTTCACAAATATGGCTTTTGTTGTGCTTTCATTCAAAAATGTTAACCATAACTCTCTTTTTTTTTTTTTTAAATAGGATTGGTGAAGCAGTGGGGAGTCAATACAATATGGTCAAAAATTATTCCTCTGACTCAGGAAAGCACTACAATATGTGGTTAAATATGTCCTCTATTCAGGAACATACACACTCACCTCTCCGGATACGCTTAAGTCCCATCACTTCAGTGGGATTTAAGCACATGTTTAAAGTTGCAAGCACCCTTCCTGAATAGGGATTATTTCCTACATCTGATTTAAAAACCCAGTTAGGGAAACCCCCTTCTTTACAAACTTTAATTTTTTCAAATATAGCATTATCAAAAATGTTGTCCTTTTTCTCTTGCTCTCTTCCCATTTTCTTTTTACTTCCAGAAAGTGGAGAAATGTCACAAAAACAAAGCAAAACAAAACATAGTCCCTCTTCCCCCCAACCCACAAAGACCCCAATCATGCAAATGTGCACGTGCATAACTTTCAGTGTGGAATACTCCCATTGCCTTCAAAATAAGACATCTTATTAAATTTGAACTGAGGCCAGCAAGGAGAGATACCAACTCTCCATTCATCAGAAGTTCCAGGAATGTTTCTACTTGTGATCACTTTGGCTTTGATCCTGCAAAGATGTCAGCATGGGCTTAAGTGTTTGCAGGATCAGGGCCATCATTATTTAAAAAAGAGTAGGCTAGAGGATTTCATAACAGAAATCAAACGTGTTTGGACAGCCCCTGTTGTTTATAATGCAATAATAGATTAAGTGCTTCCAGAATACAGATACAATCTCCACCTCTCTTCTCCTGTGTCACAAGCATTTCACCAAATTAAAAAAAGAAATTTTGAATTTATTAGGCATGAAAAGGAAAAAATTTTGTGGTTTAATTATAAAAAGAGTTTTGTCTTTTTGGGGAAAATGTATAATATTAAAAATATACTAGGCAAGCGTAGAGTCAACAAATTGTAAAATGTTAGGTATGAGGGTCAAATTTAAATATTAAAAACTATCTTTTTGTATTATATCCCTTCCCCCCCACACACACACATTTTCTCTGTAATTTGACTTCATTTGTAATTTGTCCTATCTGAGTTCTTTGGGCAGGGCCTGCCTATTTTGCATGTATGTTAAGCATCTATTGCATCTTTTGTGCACTATGAGTAAGGTTAAGATTTTCTCTCGGTTACTTTTAGTAAAAGTCAAGGACAGGTCATGGGCAATAAACAAAATTCACGGGAGCCCGTGACCTGTCTCTGACTTTTACTAAAAATAACCATGGAGGAGGGCTGGGGGAGGAATGACAGCTGGAGCCCCATGCAGAGGGACTGGCAGCCCTAGCCCCACTGCCACGGGGGGGGGGGGGGGGGGCGGGGCCCCGGCCAAAGCCACGGGGCGGGGGGGGGGGCGGCGCCGGCCCCAGGGGGGGGGGGGGGGGGGGGGGGGCCACAGTCCTGGCTAAAGCCACGGGGCGGGGACGGCGACAGCTGCAGCCACAGGGGGCGGGGGGAACATACAGCCCCGGCTCCAGCCGCTGCCATGGGTTAGGGGCACACAGTCCCAGCTCCGGGCCCGGCTAGGCTACAGCTGCTGACAGCTGAAGCCAAAAAGCGTCACAGAAGTCCAGTAAAGTCACAGAATCTGCGACTTTCATGACTAAATCTTACCCTTAACTATGAGTTGGATTTTCAAAGCTTACTAGGAGATTTGGACACAAATCCTATTGCAAGTGTCCTTCCCTCTTGTCCCTTCCTTTTATCTCTCTCTCTCTCTCCCTCCCCCATGTGTTTTGAACGAGTACAGCTAAACCATGTCACTCAAAAGGCAGAGAGAATTAAAGAAGTTAAAGAAAAATGGTCTTGTGCTTATGACACGTGAGAGAGAGTTGGTGCACCTGTGTTCCATTCTTCGCTCTGCCATTGACTCAGTGTGTGAACATGAGGCAGTCACTTCAGCTCCCAGTGCCTCCATTTCTGTATCTGTTCAGAGGGGATAAATCCCTACCTCACAGGAGTGTTGTGAGGCTTACATTCATTAACATTTGTGAAGCACCTTGGGATCCTCAGGTAGGAGGAACTATAGACCTGCAAAGCAGTATCTAACTCCAGTAGGGAACAAGTCATGTGTGTGCCATACCTGTGACAGTGCATTGCTGTAGCAGGGTCCAATAGCAAATAGTTGCCTATTGTTATGTATGTTGTACTGTGGGAATACAGAATATTTAGTATGCTAATGGTATCTTGTCGTCATCATACGTTTATGCTCATGTGCAACTTCCCACTTTGTAATGACACAACTGTTAGAACAGAAAAACAATCACACAGACTTAGTTCTTTTGTATAGAGCTCAATTCAGCCTTCATATACATGGGCACAACTCCCATTGCAGTCAATTTGGGTCATTCTTCTCAATGCCATGAAGTAACTTTAGATGGTAGCACAATTGTTTCCAAACCAGAAAGCTCAAGTTAAATCTTGGGCGGATTCAGTAGCACTCATGCCGATACAATGTGTGGAAGTAGAGCAAATGGTACGCTTGATGTATTCTGATTCTGATCTTGTGCACCCATAAATTATTCTTCAGTGTGGAACAAATCAGTATTAGGTATACATAATATTAATATATTCATGCCTGTATGCATGACTGCCACCACTTGTTTAAAGTGTTAGAACTGGGGAAAAAAGCAAGTTAAGGTGGAACAAAAAGTTACTTAAAGTGAAGTTAACCTTTCAAGTCAAATAACTCCTGAGCTTAAAGTCAAATGACAGGACAAATGACTTTTTTCCACTTACTAAGTGAGGAATGACTCTCAGAGGGTTTGTTTTCAGAGAATTTGCACCACCCAATTAACTGAATGGGCAGACTCAGCACAATGAGGGTGTAATGATGTCCGAGTCACAATTCTGACAGATGGCAAAATGGAAAGAATATGTATTGTTAGTGATGGACAATTCTGCATTGTGATGAGCTGCATGTTTGTTTGGTTACTTTCGTGCAGGGAAGCAGTTTCCCATCCGGGGGGGGAGGGACGGGAAATCACCTTTTCAAATGGGAAAAGTCTTCTTTCAGTTTCAAGCTGTGGACATGGATATTATTCTTTTGAAAAGAGAGGATGACTTTTAATTTCAATATTGCTGTGGTTGAATTTGTGCATGTTTTGTTCCCCAGAGTGCCCATTCGTTCAGTGTAAGGTGACTGGCGTTTTTTTTTTTTTTTTTGGTACATTTATGAGTAATTCAAACTGGAATTTGTTAGGAACTGAAAATTGATTGTCATCTCTTTATAGAAGTAATTCATACTGAGATTCCATTTGACTGAACTTAATGTTCTATAATGAACTGATAATATACTGCTAGAACTACTGCTTTATTCCCTTCCACCACAATTTCAAAAGATGTATATCAGGGCAAAACAGGTAAAGAATAGTGTTGGAGATCTTTATTAACATGATTTTTCATGCCCTTTCCCCATCAGTTGACAACTTAATCATTCAGCATCCATGAATTTCCTGCTGCTTCTATCTCTAAATATGCTCTTCTCTTTTTCCAGGACTGTCAAAAGACAGAACACTTTTTACGATGGGTGCTATTCCAATCTTCCAGGAGTATGTCATATTCCAATGGCTGAGCCATTTTGCACCAAAACCAGAGAGGTTAGTGGATTTCATAAGAAAAATCAAATATTTAAAAGTTGTTTGGACATCCCTTGTGGTTTATAATGCTATAGACTAACTAAGTGGTTCCGTAATCCAGATGCAGTCTCCGCCTCCCTAGTCCTGTGTCTCAGGCATTTGATCAAATTAAAAATAAAATTAGAATTTGCTAGGCATGAAAATGAAAGATTTTGTGTTTTAATGATGAAAAAGTCAGACCAAGTTCTGTCTTCCAGGGAAAAGAATGCCGATTGCTTAGTCATTAGTTTAAGAAAGTGTTTGGCAACCTGGATTTCCCCAGGGACTTTCATGGGGGTGAAAGGCTTGTAAGTTATTGAATACCAATCCATTGAAATGACATTGTGGGCAACTGAGGCAGGCACCGTCTTCGTACAGTGTATGTTCTGCACTAGCACAGTAGGGTCCTGGTCCATGCCTCGGGCTCCTACGTGCTACTGCAATACAAATAATTAAAAATAACAACATAACATTCACAGACGGTACCAATGTGGCACTTGTTTCCGTACACAATGTCTGAGCAGCTTTACCCATGTATAGCATGTGGCATAGCAGGATGAAGGCTTGTTGTATTAATCTGATGGAATATATGGGCCCAAAGAATTAAAAGTGTTAACATAACCCAGTCATTAAACAGTTTTAAACAAGGTTCAGCATTTGGTATACAGAGACCTTGGCCTGCTTAGTATGGCGCAAACACCATTAAACATCCTTTTTAACCTTTTATTCAAGATAAGAAGGAAAAACAGTTAAAGCATTTGAAATGTAAAGTAGCTGAAGAAGGCTTTCATTTTAACATTTCTTGTTTCCTTTTCCTTTAACTGGAGAGTATGTATAAGGAAAAGCCATCGTGTTTGACAGTCTCTTAGATGGTATTAAAGATGGCAATAATTGTCCTTTTTGAAGAAAAGAGAAGCTAGGAGATGGGCTGGAGTTGTTGTTGTTATTGATGATGTTGTTAAAGTCCAATCCAGGTTCCTAAGAAGACAAACCAAGACAAACACACAAAGGAGAGAGAGAAAACAGCCAAGATAGAAATGTAGCTTCTGTCTCTGGTGTTGACTTTCACGTGCAACCTCGCTGCTGGAAAAACAGTCCCAGCACATTGTCGTGTTAGCCACTCTGAGACCTGGCAAACTCATACCAGCATCAGGCTGTTTAGAGCATTTCTTTTATCTGCCTCTTTCTGTCACAGGCTTATAGCAATGTTGTAAAATATGCTGTCTTGGCTAGCTGAGCCGGACTTTTATTAGACAGAAGGAAAAAGAAAGGAGATAGGACAGAGAGAAATAAGGCAGGGAAGGAAAAAGGATGCATTTTGTGGGGGTCTCACATCCGAGATGATGTTCAGGATTCAGCCGGAACTGGTGGAGGTGGCGATGTCATCTGCCTCTCTCAGGCCGTCTGCTCAGGACATTTCTCAGGATTAGGATGAAGAAGGTCTGGGGTCCAGGAGACAGTGGGCGTGGCAGCCATGATGGTAAAGGTTGATCCAGGAGTCCATTTTTCTCTCCCAAAGTTTATTCCTTTAAGGATCCCAAAAGGGAGTGATAGGTGGAATTGCCCATCCCCCAGTATGTTGGATACTAGACCCAATTGGTGGACAAAATAACTTTTGATCGTCAGCTCCTCCTCTTTACCAAGCATGATCTTAACACAGTCCTTGAGTTACATCAGTAGGCCTTTTTTGTTTCGACTGATTCAGTCTTTCTCCCTTTTGTACCTTTTCCCATCAGCATTTGCTATTATAGGTTATTGTGATATATTATGAACTTTTACTTACTTTTAAAGTTGAGCTCACAGTCATGGTAAATTTGTAGGCCCAATTATTACAACGGGCTTATTTAATACTTTTAAGGATGGAGACTAGTCTATTCTTATACATTTTTAAATATTGCTGCTCTTATTGTATGCACCTTGGGATTTCTGTTTGGAGGAGGGTTGTGCTATTTTAACAAGTAATAGGAAATGCTGCTTTTCTTTTCAGTATTGTTGTTTTAGGGAAGAGCTTGTTTATGGTTAAAAGTGCCTTTTTTCAGTGGGGCCAGAACGTTCTTCCATCTGAGCAGAGGGAAAATGAAGAAAGAGATACATGTTAAGAGTCACTGAGGAATGAAATACACAGAGGGCACAGAATCACTTACAGAAGTTATGGTCAGATTAGTCTTCTAAAAATCCTTCAACCCACTTAGTCACCATGCTATCCGTTACCATTCCAAGGCAGACAATACAATAAAGTACTAAGCAGGTGACTCAGTGTGTGTCCAGAGCATTTAATATATTCACGTATCAGTGCTGAGCTGTTAGCTCTTATTACCATTTTGCGTCATTGTAGATAGTTATTGTTTCTGTATAATAAACAAAAATAGTATTTCTACGTGACTAAAGTTAGTCCTTTGCTTCTTAGAGCAGCAATAACAAAAGGGAGGTTCTACACACACACAGTCGTCACTGATGGAACCATATCACTGTTTCCAAAACAAAAAAATAGATAAATCATGAATTTAGGCCTCTTTGCAGTTAAATCGCTAGATTATAAAGTTAAAGATAGATCATTTTAGTGCAATCCAGATATTTTTCTTCAAGTTCTGATTTTATCATAATATGCTTGATCTATGTCCTGGAGCTTAGCATGTCATCAGAACCCCTCAAAAGGTGTATATTAGTATAATTCCCCTAACCCAATTGTAATAATTAAAACCAGACAAAAATCCAGAACTATAAATGTGTTGTGGCCGGATGGAACAACTGGGATATGTAATTCATAGATTTTTTTTTAACAACTAAATTTACCAAAAATATCAGAGAAAAAGAAACTTTCCAGAATTTTATGTACTGTAAATCCAGAAATTAAATTAAGAGAAGTTGCTCTGAAATACAGAATGAGAAAGGAATGATCCTTTTCTCAGTTATGATAAAAGGAAACTATTTTGGAATAAGTTAGGCTGTGACAGTTGATACTAGTTCAGAGATTGGAACTCACTGGAAACAATTTACAAATAGTAAAAGTGAACCGATAAAGCATTCCTGGTCAGGATTGCACAGACTAATGACTAACATCTAGTGTACGTCAAAACACAGTTTAGCCACTGGTGTGGGAATTAAGACAGAGATATAACCCTCATATCTCCAAATCAATAGATTTCTGTCCAAATTTGCACCATACTTTCCTCCCTCACATGCTTAAGCTTCGTCTTCACTAGACTTTTCTTAAAATTTCCCACCCTTGCTATCATCAGTTCAGCTCCAACTTTGGGAGCAATGGTGGTAATGGTAGTGTAAACTGGCCACCAGCATTTCCACTACCACCTTGTTTAGACTTGTTCTGACCAGAAGTCTCACTATAAGCAAGGCCTGCATATCAAACACACTTGCTTCCTGGCCTTCTCACCCAATGCTGGAAACAGAATCCCACTGGTGTAAACTGGATCAGCTGAGTTCAACTCCCACTGCAGCAATGCAGAGCAGGCATCCAGATATTTAGCCCCCTTTCCAACAATGGATGTTAAAACACAGTTGATCCTGTCCTCATCAGCAGAACTATTTGTTTTCAGCCCTGGGAAAGGAAGGGGGAGTGGGTTTCCTTGTTTGACACTTGTTGTCAAATTAGGCTCACATTCATAGTAAACCATGGCTCGCGAGCCACATGTGTCTCTTTTACAGCTAAAGTGCGGTTCGCGGAGTGTCCCCTCCTTTCCCCTCCCCCCGCACCCTACCTATTCTCCACCTACCAGACTGGGGGAGGGAGCTCAGGACTTCTGCCCTGTGGCAGGGTGGTGGGGCTAGGGAAGGGGGTCTCAGGGCTTCAGCCAGGCACCGCCCTGAAAGGATGAAGCCCCAAGCCCCGGCAGGTGCCACCTCGCGGGGCAAGTTGTGAGTGTCTTGCGGCTCTTGAACTTCCAAGAGATTATTGTATGCAGCTCCAAGAGTCAGTAAGTTTGGCCACTACTGGTATAAAGACAGCCTTATTGTGTGAAAGTTATTCAGATGAGAGACGAGTGTCATACTAGACAGAGATATTTGTTCTTTACTTACTTCTCTTGTATGAGGAAATAGCTGGCTTCACATGGGTGATTAATAATGTGCTATTTCTGTGATAATATTTTTGAAGGTTCTTATGGAGATTGCCAAGAAGCATGGGATCAAGTGCCACTCAAAGGGGACAATGATCACCATTGAGGGGCCACGTTTCAGTTCTCGGGCAGAAAGCTTAATGTTTCGTAACTGGGGGGCTGATGTTATCAACATGACCACAGTTCCCGAGGTGGTTCTTGCAAGAGAAGCTGGAATCTGCTATGCAAGTATTGCTATGGCAACAGATTATGATTGCTGGAAGGAGCATGAAGAAGCCGTGAGTGAAGCTTTTGCTTTGTTTGGTCTTGTTGTTTTAGATTATGGCAAACTATATGTTGTGCAAGTGCATAAAGTTATACAGTTCTTGATAGAAATCACAGTAGGCCCTTTTATACCAGACAAATTCTGCTCTTAATTACACCAGTTTATATCCTAATTCACTCCATTGAAGTCATTGGAGTTATTCTGAAATAACTTACGTGTTAGTGAGAGCAGGACTGAGCCCAATATCCCTGCTTTTTCCTTTCATAAAGTTCTCTTATCACGAATAAAACAGTTCACCTCTTATTGTGTGAATCAGGGTATGTGTATAAAGCCAGTTGTGACATCATTTTCCTGTAACTGACCTTGTCCTTAGTCTCTTGAGCTCTCCACAAAAAAACACATCCTTTTTAGTTCTTATACCTCTTTTCTCATGTCATATATTCAAGAACAACCACTAAGCTGCAGAATGCTTACGGTGCTTGCCAGTTAAACCTTAGTCATCACCGAAAATGGGAGCAGCAACTGTAGGACTTGCAGAAATGGAGACAGTTGTATATATTAGTTAATACATGGCCAAAGCAACTCCGTAAAATAGCTGGTTCTATATTTTTTATGTTGATATTAAATATTTCCTAGCTTTCTGGCCAAAACCAAAATGCCCCCCAAAAGCAAGTGTATCTAAAAAATAATTTATACAGAAAATTAGATAATTCCAAACTGGAAATGTGGCTTTTTTTTTTTTTTTTTTTTTTTTTTTTTTTTTTTTTAACAGCAAGTGTCATTAAACATTGGAATCTCTTGTCAAGAGATATGGTAGATTCTCCATCACTTGCCTTTAATTTGAAATTCAATGTCTTTTAAAAGAGACCATCCTGTTCAACCAATAGTTATTGGACTGGATACAAAAATACTTCTGTGGCCTGTGTTGTGCAGGAAATCAGACTAGATGACCACAGTGGTCCCTTCTGGCCTTGAAACATCTGTCTTGGATGATTTAGAAACAACAAATCCTGCATCTTGGCAGGGGGTTAGACTAGATGACCCTTGTAGTCCCTTCTACCCCAATGATTCTAAATCTATGAAAGAAAATCAACATTTAGGGCCAGATCTTCTATTGGATGTGTGTGCACAGTTGCCACTTAAGTCACAGGGAGGGCATCCATAGCAGAATTTTGCTCTTACTACATTTATGAAGGTGCTGATCAAAGCTCAATAGTTAAGTTTTTGTTTGTGCGGGGGGGAAGGGGTGGAGGCGTTTTACTGCATTTGAAGTTGGGATTCGATATCTTTGCTATATATGAGGAATACAGTGTAGCATTAACAAAATTACAACACAGGTAACGTATCTAAAAAGCCTTATTGCTGTCCTGTAGTGATGCCCTGAGATAACCATACAATTATGATAAATGCAAAATGGTGCATGTGGTCCCAGATTAAATGCAACTGATTTTTAAAGATGGATTTGGGTTCTTTTTTCCATGGAGGATTCCATTATTAGACAGAAGGTTGTTTTGGTTCCATAACTGTATATTTCCATACCTTTTAATATATTTGGATTTCTTTCAAGTTTAACCTTAACTCTGAATTTTCTGGGTTTGCAGTGCTTGTGTTTGGGATATTTACCACACCCCTGTAGTGTATTTTATGCTAAATTACTTATATGCATTCTCAACCTTATCTCCATCTTAACATGGTTTTGAGCTGGAAAGAACAAATCTGTTGCAAAATTGAAACAGTTTTCTGCAATATTGATCTGTCTGTGCACAGATGTTTTCACAAAGATGCAGGCAAACAGCAGCGAGGATATGGGTCCCTGAGACCTTCACTTGCTTTCTGCATTGATAGTCCCATAAAATTGTATTGGATATTGTAGATTCTTCAGTTGCATTTTTGAAGACTGAAAATATTTATGTACCTACAGTGTGCATTATTATACAATAAGATTTCAGCCAGTGATGGCCCACTAAAATCTAACTGATACCCTCACAAAGAACGCTGAAACTTTTACTGAGGCTATGAAAATCACCACACTGCAGCTGCTGCCATCCTGAGAATAGCACTGAAATTTTTCCTACAGTTAAAACTTAATAGCCGCTCTCTCAGGTTGTCTTTGTATAGAGTCATTTTTTACATTTTCAAACATTCTGTGGCAAGAGGTCTCACTCTATTCAGATGTGTCAGCTCAGTAGTATTATAGTTATGAAGCATAAGATGACTAGAGTAAACATATGTCACCATTTCCACACCAATGCCCCAGTCCTTCAATCCTTACTCTGGTGAAAAGTTTCATTGGGGTATCTTGAGTATGGACTTCGTAGAATCACTCCCCCATTGTACAGTATAACAAAAAAATAAACTATTGATTCTTTAAAAAGATCTCCTCTGTGGCATGTTGTCATCTCAATTTAAAATGCATAGAGGATTTTTTGTTCTTATTCATGTGTTCTGAGCTAAAACAGTTGTATGGGGGATGTAGGGTGTTGCTTAATTAGGAATTGAGTTTTGCGGAACATTATCTGTTTTACACACAAGTGTGAGAAAATCATTAATTTTTTATTGTATTTCTAGGTTTCAGTGGATAAGGTTTTAAAGACTCTGAAAGAAAATGCGAACAAGGCAACGAGCATACTTCTTACTGCTATACCTCAAATAGGTTCCATGGACTGGACAGAAACTCTGCATAACATGAAAGTAAGCACAATATCTGAACAGGTTTTTTGGGGGGTGGGGGAGAGAGGGGAAGGAAAGAAGTACGTGCTGTGTAAGTGAATGGCCCATGATACTGCTATTCAAAACACTGTTTAAAAAAATTTGCGATTCAACAAAGTCGCAATATGGGGGAGAAAGGTTCATTACAGAGTTTGACAAGCTTTATTGCAAACAGCTCGCCTCAGTTTTACAACAAGTATTTCAAAAAGTAGAGGGACATCTGCAGTACATGTATGAAAGCTGTGGTGCTCCTATAGCAAGGAAAAGTACAAATCTGCATGAGTCTCCACGTTACAGACCTACCTGTCTATTCAGTGGAGAGCTCAAAATAATAGTGAGCCAAATGGGAAGGATTAAACCTAATTGCACTTATGAGTTTGCAAAAGGAAAGTTGTTCATTCGGTAACATGAGGATAACAGTGTAGATGTTCAGAATTCTATTCACCCTGGCACTGTGACAGTAGATGCACAAAGCGGGATTGCTAGGGTGAAAAGGAAATATCTTTTCGAAGTGTTATGGAGAGAGAATTTCAGACAAACATACAGGGTTGGCTTATGCAAATTCCGCATCTGTTTCATCCAGTCACTTTATTCCTTTGCCTAGGAGAGAGAATCTTTGTCTTGGATGTTAAGATGTTGATCTCTTTCCCTACTCCTCCCCATGCCTTCCTTATGCACAAGCACTTCCCGACTCCTCTTGACTCCCTTACTCTCTGGTGTCAGAGTAGCTGAGGGGGACAGAGGGCTGAGTGGGGCTGTGAAGGCAGGCAGCAGAGGCAAGCCAGATATGTGTGGCGGTCTGAAGGAATGAAGGGTGTGTATTGGGGAAGGAGGCTGTGTTAGGGAGAGTGGTGCTGTGTAAGGGAGGGAGGCCTGGGGACAGTAAACGAGACCAGTCCCTGAGTGCTGATCTGTCTGCACTTTAAGGGCTTCCCCTGTGCTCCTCCCTTAGCACTTGAAATTTGAAGTTCCAATAAAAATATTATTTTAAAAATCTGTGTTTTCATATGGTCCAGTTAGTGAAGACTCACATCTCCTCATGTTTTGGACCTATTCAAAGCCACTCTGTCTCAGGCAAAACTCAGGCATGAATCCTTAAACGAGTTTAAGCTTTGAATTGACCGTAGGGTAGGTTCGCATGGCTACAATCCAACACCATGGGATGGGTCCCTGGCTCACCTCTTCCCTGCTCCAGCCTTGATAAGCCCCAATATCGTTTTATCTTTTTCTGTCATCTGGGAGGGGAGTTTAGTTTCCTGTAATGCTGCCCCTCCTCCCAACACCTCTGTGGGCGGCCAGCAGGATCGCTTCACCCTCCTGCAGTCTTTGGGACGTTGTGAAGCAGGTAGAGGAGGGGGTAGTCAGCAAAGTCAAGCTTCTTCCCCCATCCCAATCCACAGAAATCATCCTCAGGGAAACGGACTCCATCTCCTTTTTTTTTTTTCTTGTAGGCTTTTTGGGTTTGTTTTGTTTTAATTAAAAATGATCCAGTGACCTGTTTGACCCACAGATGTTTTCAAGTTCACAGTCACGTCTTTCCGTGTCACGTGACCACCTTGGGTATGTCTACATTGCAATTAAACATCCATGGCTGGCCTATGTCAGCTAGCTCGGGCTAAGGCACCGTTTAATTGCGGTGTAGATGTCTGGGGTCCCAGAACCAGGGAGTCTATTCCCCTAAAGATGATTCTTGTGGATTGGGATGGGGAGAAGGTTGGTTTTGGTGGCTGCCCCGTTATCCCGCGTCCTGCAAGCCTGACTCAGCTGACATGGGCCAGCCATGGTGTCTCATGGCAGTGTAAATGTACCCTTTGTGTACTTCAGTGTCAGATGTGGGGTTGTCCTGTCAGTTCGTACATCAGGGTGGGGCAGTGCTGCCGGCTGGAGAGAGCTGAGGTTCCCTGTGCCCTGAGCAATGAAGCTCCAGTCCTTCCCATGTTGATTGTGGTCAGGTCTGAGTGTTTAAGTAGTGGAGAAAAGGATACTGGGAGTAGCTTTCGGAATTTGGGATGAGGGGCTTGGAAGCTACTAATGGGGCTGGGATCAGGAATAGGGAATTACCTGATGTGAATAATTGAGGAATTGCTGGGTTGGAGTCCTGGAAGGAAGTTAGGAGGATTAGAAGTTGTGCCAGGCCAGGGACACTTTGGGAAAGTGGTAGGAAAGTCTGCAGGTTGAGGAGGATGAGGATTTTTGAGGCACTGAATAGTGGTAAATGACATTTGGGATTGGGCCTTATTGTTTGTAGGTAGGGAGAGAAGCAATTATGGGATGGAGTAGGGACAGAGATACACTGGGTATGTTATAATTGAACCATACATTTAAAAAAATCCCCTCTCCCACGTTGGAGCTAGGCAAAGCTTTCTTCCATGTAAATTCTTGTTTGCCCCCCTTTAAACGTCAGCAGTTTATTTTGTGATTACATTCGTTTTTCTGACCCTGTCCTCTCTTCCTGCTTGAACTAAAAACAAAGTGGCAGCACGTGCCAGATCCCAGCTGGTATTCTGGGGCCCTGCTACACAGGTGAAAGAACAACCACCCCTTCCATGCTTCAGCAGCTGGGTGCTTATGGACTGCTGTAAAAAGCCTGCTTCTGTAAACAGCAATTCTGAGAAGCATGAGATTGAGTTCAGAGCCTTTGCCGTCAACCCCTACTGGTAACACCACCTCCCCTCGCTCTCTCTCCTTCCCTCTGCTCATAATTGTGGGTGGGGAAACTTACTCAGGGAGACATTTACCTCTTTCTCCTTCTCCTGCCCCCACATCTTGCAGCTGAAGTTTGCATGGGCCAGCCTCCTCTATTAGAAGTTTTTGCAATGTTTAACAGAGATGTTGAGTGAAATGTTCTTACTCCTGTGACAAGATTTCAGCATAGCATCTTTCACCCTGCCTGTCATCTCTTGCCTGTTCTCCTGTCTTTTGCTCTCAGATATATCTCTGAGCACCCTCCCAGGTCCTCTCCTCAGTGAGAAAGAAAGTGAACCTTAGGTTGGAGGTCAAAGATATAAAAATAAGCTTTAACAGTTTCATGTGGGTGTTTTGTTGTTTGTTTTAACTGTCAGCTCATCTACAGAGAGACATGGTGGGTGAGGAAATATTGGACCAACTTCTGTTGATGAGAGAGAGAAGCTTTTGAAGCGAACACAGAGCTCTTCTTCAGCCTGAAAGCTTCTCTCTCTCACCCACAGGAATTGGTCCAGTGAAAGATATTACCTCACCCACCTTGTTTCTCTAATATCCTGGGACCAACATGGCTACAATAACATTGCATACAGCTCATCTACAGGCCAATTTTATATATTATCAAAGTTGTATGGAGTCAAACTAGGAGTCACCCCTGCTTCAGACTTAGTGTATTTAATAGCCTTCATAAATTATCATTAATAATAATTTCCTCTCTGAAGGCATAGCAGTTGTACTAATGCTTCTCCTTTAAGGAACAGATGGGATAGAATGCCTGTAGGCTTCCAGTACAGGACATGATGATATCATTGTGTTTGTGCCACCAGCCAGGAAATACCAAAAATGTTAACTAACTTGTAAGCCCAAACACAGAATCAATTGCATAAATGATGGGAGACTCTTGATTTGAAAACAGATCTTGTGTTTGTGATGCTTCAATAACAAAGCTAAGTAAACTATGTAGAGCCCTACATAGTTATATTTAGCAAGTGAAAGCTCAACTGATTCTCATGAATAGCCCTTTGACTGATACATGTTTAGACTTGCTCCTTATTTAGCATATCCATGAGGTAGTCTGAGTTTGTTACTATGATATTCTATCTTTTGTTAGTCATTTGATTAGGGAAAACATTGGACAGAGAAAAACTCAGTCTCTTTGATGACCAGAGTTTCAACTCATGGGCTAGGTGACAATCAATGATGGTGTCATTTGGACTCAACACAAAAGCACAATACAGTTTAACACAATGTGACACAACCAGCAGTCTTGGCTTGAGAGAGGCTCAATACTAGGATAGAAAGGAAATTTCATGTTAAGACTGATCTGTCTTCTAGAGCACATGTAGGGAAGTCTGTTCACACAAAGGCCTTGATTCTGCAGTGAGTGCCAAACAGACAAACTCCAGTCACCATGCAGAGCTCCACTGAGTTTTGGGTACATTTAAAAAAAAAAAAACACACACACACACACACACACACACACTTGCCTAGATGTTTTAACTAATTCATTTCAAAGGCCTATTGTATACAGGGCAAATTGTATTTTAACATGTTAGCTGATCAAGGTGGATAGTAGGTGAGAGTTTAGGGATCTCCTTAACCAGTTTACACATGCTAAAATATAGCTTGCCCCTGTCTACAGTAGGGCTTTAAAATGTGTTTCCTAGCTAACTTTTTTTTTTCTCTGTGTTTAGTTGTACCCTAAGTATGTTACTTAGGGTATGCCTCATTTGTAACTCGGCATAAGAGAGTCAATGGTGGGGAGGCAAAGCCTGCCCGGTTAGAAACAATAGCTTCAAAAATATCCCTGCTTCTTTTGAGGCCCCGAGCCAACAAAAGTTTATGTACATGAGTAACTGTATTCATGGGAATAGTCTCAATGAAGTCTATGTGATTAAAAGTACTCGTGTGAAATGGGATTCCCTACAGGTTTTACTGCAGGATCACGGAGTTGGTCCAAAAGGGCCGAGCTTCTCCCATTAAACTCAGTGGAAATTTTGAGTGCTCAACACCTCTCAGGCTACGTCTTCACTACCCGCCGATCTGGCGGGTAGCAATCGGTCTATCGGGGATCGACTTACCGCGTCTAGTGAAGACACGATAAAATCGATCCCTGATGGCTCTACCGTCGACTCTGGAAATCCACCGCGGCAAGAGGCGGTAGCGGAGTCGACGGCGGCGCGGCAGCGGTCGACTTGCCGCCGTCCTCACAGCCAGGTAAGTCGACCTAAAATACGCCACTTCAGCTACGCTATTCACGTAGCTGAAGTTGCGTATCTTAGGTCGACCCCCCGCTGTAGTGTAGACCTAGCCTCAGACTCTGATGCTCAGCTTGGCCCAGGCCAGTCCCTAAGTTTCATGAGCATTGTATTCACTGCATTCTAGCTTAAGGAAAACAATTGTTTCTCATTACTTTCAATTTTCTGATGCTCGGGGTTTTTTACATAAGTTAAAGGAACATGCAAAACTCATTTTCTTTTTTAGCATTTTTGTTATTTTCAGAATTTTAGGATTAAGTTTACTTTTAGATTTCTATAAATCCAATGGGTGTGACCAATATGCTACTTTTCAAACAGTTAAAGTACCCAAATATGGGACTTTTCGTAACTTTAATTTTTAAAGCTAAGTATTCATTTTAATCTAGTACTTTGTGGAGTTGATTTGTAACAACAAGAGAATTCATACCCATTTCTAATCTGCATGCAATCAACATGGTTTGCTGTTGAGAATGCTTTAAAATTTAAAGTTATTTGTGTGTGTATATTGGGATAGGGTGTATTCAACTGTTTTGATTTTGTATTTCAGTGTACTGTGCAGTGCTCAGTCATGTTACCAAAACATTAAAAGCATGGATGGGCTCTGAAGTTTGAATGCTCAGAAGAAAGGAGAGGATCAGTCTTGAACATCTAACAGTTACAATATTTTGGGAATTTGATGTTTAGCATGAAAGAATACAGTAAATGTTGCACTGGTCTATTTCTTGTCTGCTAGTAAAGTATCATGGTAAAGACTGTTGAAGAACTTACCAATAGCCTTGGAATGTATTGATTGTATGAACTGGTAGGGCAATGGGATAAGCATTCCATAACAAATTATCATATTTAAGATCCTAGTACTTCTGTTCTTGTTTACAAACTTCAGATGAGAAAGAGTGCTTTGTTCATCCTTTGCTCAATAATAGCTCATGGCCTGGAAGAAGGTAAGAGATGAGGAGGGGTTAGATTGTGTACTCTCATTGATCAGTTTAAAAAGATAAAGACTTCAGAAAGTTAAAACGACAGAGCTATTAGTTGCTTTGCTATCTCCTTTTTCTGAGAGCAAACTATCTTTTATCACAAAAATATAACTGAAGGACTATAGGTTACTTAAGAAAATACACTGCAGTATTTTTATATTTTTTTTATATATATTTTACCTGTATTGATTTTCACTGTTCTCTTAGGGAAAAAATTGCTTGCTGTAGGGTTTGTAACGTGGACATCTTAAGCCCAGATTTTAAAAGCATGTCCACTTTTGCTGCCATACTGTTTCACCATAAGAAATTGTGCCAGCTGTTTTGCAGCAGCAATAATTTTGAGTACAAATGTCACCATTTTAAATGTTTACTTGAGTGCATGAGCAAGTCAGGAGACCAACATCTAGATCTGTGTCTGCAATTGATTGCAGGCACAGATCTTTACAGGTACATAAATATTCCTGCAAAATGGAGTCTGGATTTCAATCTCTTAAAAAAATTAGACTCATGAAACTTTATGAAATTATGTGTCTCAATGTTAGCTTGGGCTGCTTGAGTGTGGGAAGGAATAATGTGCATCACGGATCTGATCCAGAGCCCACTGCAGTCACTGGAAAGACTTCCATTGTCTTCATTGGAGTTGGCTCGGGCCCTAATTAACTAAAACTGAAGTGACAAATTTAGCACACCATTTTGGCCTGATGCCACTGTCTGTTCTGTGCACCAGGGGTAGCATTTTCTGTTACATTTGTCTACAGAATTCTTTTTCTTTAGTTTTATTCTGATTTACAACTGTTAGTAATGAATGTATCTGCTGTTGATTGTATCCAATGAATATATTCATGCACCTCTACATCTTCTACTGCATACACAGAATGAATACAATTTGCCTTCAAGAAAGTAATCTGCTGCTGATTGTCTAATAAATAAACCAAATGTAACCTCCTGCTTCTATAAATTGTGTGGGAATGGCTTTGTTTTATTTCTGGACATTATTCAGATACCTGAGTTTAGCTGTTTGGATGGCAAAAATACTGGATAAGCATGTAATTAGTCTATACAGTAATTCACTAACGCTGTATTAATAAGAGTTGAAAATCTGAAAGTATTGTACTACTTTTGTGTACATCTAAGCAAACCCTTGCATGGTTAAGGAGAAGAGTACATGAGTTTAGATCTTAAAGACATATTTCAGAAAGTAGAAATCCTGCCCAAATAATACAGATGAAAGCACGAACCATGCCAGATGAGGAGAAGATTGGAAATGAAAAAGGCAAATTATCACCAGTTGTTAAGATAAAAATGAAGCCCTACATGAAGAAAAACTAAAGATAAAGTATTTAAAAACATTTTAATTGTTGCTTTTATTGTATTGCAGTAGCACCTAGGAATCCAATGCATAGACCAAGATCCCATTGTTTTAGGCACTTTATAAACACAGAACGAAAAGACATGGCTACCCAAAGAGGCTTACAATCTGGCTACATGTGTGTCTCACTGTAGGCCCTCGAGACCACTAAGATTATGAGAGAAATGTAGATGTCAGAAGATAATTTAGTTCTACTTTTTTGCATCAGTCATCATTACTACAACCAGAGTTCTTTGAAAAAGTGAATAATTAGATCATCATTAAAAGGTCCTCCATAAAATATTAAGACAAGAAAATCCTGATTGTTGTGGGAAAGGTCTGGCGTGAATTTAAAATGGGTGAAGCAACAGAAAATAATTGTGGTAAGGGGTGGATCTTCAGTTCAGAACTGACCCCAGTGCTGTTTTTTTTTTTTATTTGGACCCTGTTCCTGGTTTGAGAACTCTGCTGGTGGAATCACACTTGGGCCTTGGAGAAGAAAGTGGAGGTCTATTAATGAAATTTGCCAATAATGCAAAGTCGTTTGTGTTAGTAAAAGCTATTCAAAACAGAAAGGAATTCCAGATGGATTTAATCATAGATGCTGGAATGTACCTAAAAAGGGAGATCCTGCCCTAGGCCTTCTGCACCACTTAAATCCATTCCTTGACATTTCTAAGCCCTCTTCTGCTGCATTCTGTACAGCTGCTGCCAGAGACATGATGCTGGGTTAAATGCTTCAGTGGTCTGATCGAGTATGGCTATTGGAGTTGTGAATTAATAGTCCAGTTCTGCAGAGCAAACAGACATTGAAAATGGTTTTGCTAAGTTTTATTGTCATTTAAAAAAATAATTTGCCTCTGTTGGGAAGCTTTTTTTTTAATACCCAAAGAAAAAAAAAAGGGGGGGGGGGCTACTGGTACTATCTAAAGGTTGCCTAAAACTTTGTTTTAAATCCCTATTTTTAAAAGCAATACAACTTTGCAAATCAAAGTGTTTGGACTGAAATTTTCCATATTTGATGTCTGCCTTAGATGGAGTCCCAGCCCTCCCTCCCCCCCCCTCCAAAAACACAGAGTAGCCATTTTGAGAAAAAGCTTGAGGAAAAACAGGTGGTTTTGCCAGTTCTACATATTTTCTGAGCAGTTTTGTAGAGCTCTAACACCTCAGAAGTTTGGATCCAGAACTTGAAATTTGATAGAGGGATAGTCCAGTGGTCAAAAAAGGTTTTGCTGTATAAGTCCGTCAAAACCACAGAAAATTTCTATTTGCACATGTGCAAAAGAACATGTTAGAGGCTTGTGCCTATAGCCTCTGAACATTCTTTCTGCATTACACATACTTCCCAGAGTCACGGAGCCTGCTGCACTGTTTTGAAGCAGTCACACAACTGACTTGGGTGGGACACAGGCAGCATGGATCCTCCCAGGCACCCTTTGGTATAAGAGAAGATGTGCTGCTTCTGCTATTCCAACAAAAGACGCTTTGGCCAAGTAGATGGACACTAAGGGTACGTCTTCACTATCTGCCGTATCGGCGGGTAGCAATCGATTTATCCGGGATTGATATATCGCGTCTTGTTAAGACGCGATATATCGATCCCCAAACGTGCTCACCATCGACTCCGGAACTCCACCAGAGCGAGCGGCGGTAGCACAGTCGATGGGGGAGCCGCGGCCATCGATCCCGCGCCGTCTGGACCCCAGGTAATTCGATCCAAGATACTTCGACTTCAGCTATGCTATTCGCGTAGCTGAAGTTGTGTATCTTGGATCGATTCCCCCCCCCCCAGTGTAGACCAGCCCTAAGCCGGAAGCCAGGAGATAGGTTTCTTCTTATGACTGGTGGTAGTAATTTCATGCACTTCACAACCCTTAACATTGAGCAAGGCCAGGGGTGGCTCCAGGCACCAGCGCTCCAAGTGCGTGCCTGGGGCGGCAAGCCGCGGGGAGCGGCCTGCCGGTCACCGTGAGGGTGGTAGTCAGGCTGCCTTCGGTGGCTTGCCTGTGGGAGGTCCGCCGGTCCCGCGGAAATTCAGCGGCGGGGACGCCGAAGGCGTGGGACCAGCGGACCTCCCGCAGGCATGCTGCTGAATCCGCGGGACCAGCGGACCTCCCGCAGGCATGCTGCCGAAAGCCGCCTGACTGCTGTGCTTGGGGCGGCAAAATACATAGTCGCCCCTGAGCAAGGCCTCATACCCCTACCTTCAGTAGGAAACACAGCCTGTGGGGAGCAAGAGCGAGGATGAAAATTGCATGTCTCAAAATTAATTGATGACATTAGAAAGGAAGGATGGCCGTGCCATTAAAGCTCTGGATTAGCATTTGGGAGACATGGGTTCAATTCCTAGCACTATCATGAATTCACGGTGTGACCCTGGGGCAAGTAATTCAATCTCTCTCTCCCTCTGTTCCCCATCTGTAAAATGGGAATGCTACTTCTCCTGTCCACCGGTCTTGCCTACTTAGACTGTGAGCTCTTTGGGCCAAAGAGTGCCTCACAAATCTCCTGGGGTGTGAACCCAGGCAAACTGAGCCAGCTGGCCTTGGTTTGGAAATCTTTGCAAACTGAAAGTAGCAGATTTCATATAGCTCTGGAACTTGGTTTGTGAGCAGTATCACTAATTAGTCACTTACCTTCCAACTCCCATTGCCCTGATCCACAAGAGCAACTCTTCAGCTAGTTCCATGCTCTCAGAATGGAAGCTTTTGATACAGAACAGATGTATGCCTACTTAACTGCATGGTACCACAGTCAAGGGCATAACAGCAGTTAAAGATGAACAACATTTGTATTCAGAGAACTGTTATGTGTAATCATATTTCACATTTATATTTTCCACTGGAGGGATCCTAATGTGCTTTGCAGACTAGAGTTTTACATACATTGTGTTATGAGATTTTGTACATAGACCTTCAAATTATTTCTGAATGACCCATTAATTTTTGGACTCTCGATTGTGATAATTTTGCTTCTCGATCAGTGAGGTATTTTTTAGAGATGGGTCCTGGTCACAAAGTTCATATCCAAAATTTCTCAATGTTCAGGGGTGCCCAGTTCTTGGATTCCATTCTGAGCTCACCTTTGTTTTTTACATTGTCTATTCAGCTTTAATAGTGACCTCCAAAGATCTTGTTTAACAATGAGATCATATCAAGTTTATAGGCTAATTGCCACCACTAGCACAGGACACAGGGGGCATTCAGCACCTACCTTACTCCACTTTCTGAGTTGTATCCCCTCCCCACAATGTTACAGGCAGATGAAATCTGCCAGTTGTGACACAAACCCCCGTCTCCCGCAAGTCAATCAGCTAGCAGGGATCCCCAGTGGAGCTTGAAGGAAGGAGTCTGTTAACTAGCCTACTGTTAGTACACAGTACAACTTTACAGCGTATAATGTGTATTTTATAAGCTAAAGGCTATGGTGCTGTACAGCCAGCAAATAAAGCCTTAGCTTCTCAGGCCATGAAGTGTAAGTTGAAGATGGCAGCTAGTAAGAGAAGTCGAGACAGACTGTGTGAATTACATACATTGGAGCTTTGTCCATCAACTGGCTCATGAGAGCCTATTTTGGCACTGGAAATCCAGATAAAGTGGTAGTTTATGGGGGTTATCCCAAATAAATCAAGCTGATGTCTTAC